AAGTGCAGATGTAGATTTGCATCACTTGGCCGCATCTGATTTTCAGTAATAGTTGTTTGGTGTGCCTCTCTTTCTGGGACACCTTTATCTGGGCCAGCCAGTGTCTATAGAGCCATCAGTATAGAGACATATTATGCAAATATAGAGATATAATGCTCAAAGCCAAAGCACTTAATATTAAATCTTTTGTTTTCTTTAAGCAGCTGAAATCACAAGGAAATGCAAGGAAGCTATACGTGATGAGAAGGAGCCTGATTGGTTACCAGAGGGGGTTCTGCTTTTTTTTCAAGCGAGCCATCTGTCACTGAGTTCACACTCTCTCCACTTACCAAATAGCTGCCAAAGTCTCTAAACCAAGAGCACACACACATTCAAACGCAAAGACATATACCCTACTAGGCACACGCTCAAGCCTGATCACAATCAGCTTGACAAGTTAATCAGTAAATGTCATGAGAAAAAAACTGAGCAAGTGCAAATCATTGCAGGTGTAGGTGGATATCCATTGACCTTTAAAATGTAACTGGGCTCAAAGCTTTGTAGATCAAGCTAAATTAGTCTCAATGCATGATGTAGTTTCAGCACTAGTGTGGTAACCTGCTACCTGGGTCACTTGTGTTTATGCTGGAGTCGTTGGTGAGCTGCAGTAAACATCTTAACATGGATCTAAGTAATCTTGTTACACCTGTACTATTCCGGTAGAGCTACTCTATTTGCACTGTGGCTCTGCTCTGTAGTGCTTTTAAGCTGCTCCTGATGAAACTCTACGCATGCTGCATCACCTTCATAGTAAAAGACTTCATGGTAGACTTCACAGGATGACCTCTGACCTGAGGAGAGTGTGTGGAGTTTAACACTAGAGCAGCCAGTGTGTAGGACATAAGGGGATTTAGTGGAATCTATCAGTGTTCATTGTTCAGGGGGTTTTCACCAGGAGCTGAATATCCAGAAATCTATTTCTGAGGCGGCGATTTAAACCAGTGAAAACACTTTCATGTTCATGTTTCATGTTACAAATGAGTGTTTTTCCCACACTGCTCGTCTCAAATAGGCTTCTATCTAGTGGCCGACACAGAAACATGAATGGTCGCATCTGGAGCTAGGGCTGGGCGATATAACAACGGCAAGCAAGACATAAATTTAGACACCAACGTTTATATCAATAAAGGGTCAAGTTGTGTTACATAACACACACCAGTGTAAATCTCTTCTCTCTCACACTCTCTGCACAGCTCCGCCCCACTTACTCAGAAGTTCTCCATCAACACCGATATAGACACATCAGTCTATAGTTGCATGTGCTACGCTAAATCAGTCTGTGTGATTAATGAATTGACCACAGTAGCACACGCGCAGTACAGCACTGTGCTGCTAGTGTTGGATTACAGCACATCGCCGTTCTTCTCAGACAGATCTCTTCAAAAAATGCAGCGACGACACAGACGTTGTATATACAAGACAGATATAGCAGTCACAGACTGTTTTCATAAAAGTGTTTGTGACATCTTAAATGTGGCTTTGACTTGGAACTGAAAACATGTCGCCCATATCATAGAAAATACCAAGATATATATCATGTATCGCCAATAAGCCAGTAAATACAGAGACATGGATTTTTGTCCATATCGCCTTGCCCTATCTGGAGCCAGTGTTTGGTTTGGTCCTTCTGGGCTACAGTAGAATCATGGCGATGCAACATGGTGATCTCTGTAGCAGAGGTTTCGCTCCCTATGAAAATATAAATGTCAAGTTTTTAAAAAACACACTTTATTTTGAAGTACAGTAAATTTCCTGCACAGAGCTTTTATTTTGAAGTTTTGTTCTCTGCTGTAGATTGAGTGAATAACGGACAGCTACTTAACAGAGACAGCAAATGACTAAGGACTAAGGAGAAATCTGCACCCTGTGGCTGCAGCAGTTGGGAGCCACTGTTCGAAGGTAACAAGAACACAATGATTCTTATTTTCAGGCAATTATACACACCATTTCTGCTAATATATCTCCCTAAATACTACACACTGGACCTTTAATCTTGTTTGATTTTGTCTCCAGTTAAAATTAACAGCAAATTAAAGCGACAGTTCACCCCAAATCAACTCAAACTGTGTATATCTCACCTCTCTAGGCCCTTTATGGCTACAGAAAAGTTTTCTACTGGATGAAAAGTGGATCAGTGCAAACAGACTTTGATGGAGTCCGAAAGGTTTAAAACGTCTGAAAAAAACTGTCTGAAAATCCCTTCGCAGCATTAACCAAGTATCCTGTTTCTAGCAAAGCATTTCCCCTGAAGGGAATAGTTGTGTGCATGCTTGCACAACTAATTCACTGGAGGATAACATGCAAATGCTTCATCATTCAGCAATAGCAAAAATAGTTTTATTAGGATGAAGATACTAAGGCCTGACTGATTTATCGGCCGGCCGATTTAATCGGCCAATTATAGCCATTAGAGAATAAGGCAAAAGTTGGCTGATTGACGCAGATGTTAACACTTATATTTTCATCACTAATAAAATGCAGGGAATATGGTGTTTTACTTAGAAATGATGTCCTTGTGTTACTTTTTGCACTATAACCTACCTCTGTTAAATTGGCAATAATAAGAGGAACTCTGGTACTGTGAACATACAGTACAGGCCAAAAGTTTGGACACACCTTCTCATTCAATGCGTTTTCTTTATTTTCATGACTATTTACATTGTAGATTCTCACTGAAGGCATCAAAACTATGAATGAACACATGTGGAGTTATGTACTTAACAAAAAAAGGTGAAATAACTGAAAACATGTTTTATATTCTAGTTTCTTCAAAATAGCCACCCTTTGCTCTGATTACTGCTTTGCACACTCTTGGCATTCTCTCCATGAGCTTCAAGAGGTAGTCACCTGAAATGGTTTCCACTTCACAGGTGTGCCTTATCAGGGTTAATTAGTGGAATTTCTTGCTTTATCAATGGGGTTGGGACCATCAGTTGTGTTGTGCACAAGTCAGGTTAATACACAGCCAACAGCCCTATTGGACAACTGTTAAAATTCATATTATGGCAAGAACCAATCAGCTAACTAAAGAAAAACGAGTGGCCATCATTACTTTAAGAAATGAAGGTCAGTCAGTCCGGAAAATTGCAAAAACTTTAAATGTGTCCCCAAGTGGAGTCGCAAAAACCATCAAGCGCTACAACGAAACTGGCACACATGAGGACCGACCCAGGAAAGGAAGACCAAGAGTCACCTCTGCTTCTGAGGATAAGTTCATCCGAGTCACCAGCCTCAGAAATCGCAAGTTAACAGCAGCTCAGATCAGAGACCAGATGAATGCCACACAGAGTTCTAGCAGCAGACCCATCTCTAGAACAACTGTTAAGAGGAGACTGCGCCAATCAGGCCTTCATGGTCAAATAGCTGCTAGGAAACCACTGCTAAGGAGAGGCAACAAGCAGAAGAGATTTGTTTGGGCCAAGAAACACAAGGAATGGACATTAGACCAGTGGAAATCTGTGCTTTGGTCTGATGAGTCCAAATTTGAGATCTTTGGTTCCAACCGCCGTGTCTTTGTGAGACGCAGAAAAGGTGAACGGATGGATTCCACATGCCTGGTTCCCACTGTGAAGCATGGAGGAGGAGGTGTGATGGTGTGGGGGTGTTTTGCTGGTGACACTGTTGGGGATTTATTCAAAATTGAAGGCACACTGAACCAGCATGGCTACCACAGCATCCTGCAGCGACATGCCATCCCATCCGGTTTGCGTTTAGTTGGACGATCATTTATTTTTCAACAGGACAATGACCCCAAACACACCTCCAGGCTGTGTAAGGGCTATTTGAGCAAGAAGGAGAGTGATGGAGTGCTGCGGCAGATGACCTGGCCTCCACAGTCACCGGACCTGAACCCAATCCAGATGGTTTGGGGTGAGCTGGACCGCAGAGTGAAGGCAAAGGGGCCAACAAGTGCTAAACACCACTGGGAACTCCTTCAAGACTGTTGGAAAACCATTTCAGGTGACTACCTCTTGAAGCTCATGGAGAGAATGCCAAGAGTGTGCAAAGCAGTAATCAGAGCAAAGGGTGGCTATTTTGAAGAAACTAGAATATAAAACATGTTTTCAGTTATTTCACCTTTTTTTGTTAAGTACATAACTCCACATGTGTTCATTCATAGTTTTGATGCCTTCAGTGAGAATCTACAATGTAAATAGTCATGAAAATAAAGAAAACGCATTGAATGAGAAGGTGTGTCCAAACTTTTGGCCTGTACTGTATGTCATGAATGATTCGCTGGGACTTTTTCCATTAGACTTCATGCCTTTATCTGTACTCCGACTTTTCCACCTCACCAAGCATAAAAGCTGCAATATTACAACTTTTTAAACGTATTTAAAGCATTTCCACTCTTTCCACTTTTTTTTATGTGCAAATTCAGTATGGACATAAAACAGGATGAACACATTCATGACAGGAGGACTTATATTTTAAATAAGGCTCAACAGATGTTTGTTTGTTCTGTCCAACACTTTGAGACCGCAGGGTGTTATGAACATTGCAGGCTCTTGGTAAACAGCATATTTAAAAATCCTGGTCTTTGAGCGTGTCGTCTCTTATCTTCCCTGCTCTGGATTATTACATTTTTGTTTTTTTAATACGAATGCATCTATAAAATGTTTTGGCACTGATACAAAAACAATATTTTTCATAGCTTTGCTTTGAGGAATATTTAACATGCCTTTTCTACAAAGCCCCTTTTTTTTTAAATTAACACCAGAAGCCAGAAATGTAAAATTAAAATGTTGTCATAACACAATTAGGACTTTAGCCTACACATATTGGGAAAATCATGATTTTAATAATATGTTCTGATCAAAGGACAAGGGAAGAAGAGTACAAAGTGGAGCAAGCATCAGATGTCAGATACTTTAAGTTGGTACCAAAAAGGTGTACAGGTTTGGTAGCAGCCCTGCAGCCTCTTGTTACCCTTAATCAAATAATTTTTTCTTTCTACTCACCGATCTCTTTGCCCAGTCCTGAGCGCAGGATAGATCCAGCCGAGGCGACCACCGCACAGGTCTTGTAGCTGCTCTGGTCCTGCCGCCTTGGCAGTTGCTCCAGGGGAGTAGAAGGCACAAAACTAGTCCACCCAAGTGAGGAGAAGGGCTCCTCCGACCCGTCCACTGTCCTGGGCCGGGCCAGGGCTTTCATATGACACAGCACGTCTTTAGCACTCTGGTTGGTCCTACGCTGCCCGTTGTAGGAGACACGGAATTTGTTGGAATTAATGTAGTCTTTCGCGGCGCGCTGCAAATGAGGACTCAGCATGTTGCCGGACACGCGACCCCGCCACAGCCGCTGCAACATAGAGGCCGACTTGGAGAAGTAATATTCCTCCAGATTAGCAGAGTCATCACCGACCCTCCTGCCGGATGTAGTCCTCATTCTGTGTCCTTGCTCATTTTCTTCATTGTCCTTCTCATCTTCTTCCTCCTCCTCCTCCTCCCCACCGTGTTGAGAAGTCCTCTCCCGACTCTGGACTGAAGGGTCCGAGTGAGATCCCACGTTTTCTGTACCAAAGGAAGACCAGGCAGCCAGGCTCTGTGGGTCCAGGCTGTCCTGGTGGCTGGTCTCCCGGCTAACATAAATGGCGTCAGGAGCGCTGCTGGGACTGTGGCTCACCTCCAGGCTGAGCCCCGGGGTCGTGGAGGTGGCAGACGGCTCTGGCTCATCTCCAGGGTAGGTTGTAGTTAAGGTGGAAGCCAGTTCAGGTCGGGAGCCCAGGTCTGCATGCTGCTGATGGGACGCCTGTATCGAGGTCAGACGACGAGTGTCAGGGTGCTCGAAGAGTAAAGAGCCGACAGAGGTCAGGGGCTCATTCACACGAGCATCCAGGAAGTAAGAGAAGAGGGCGAGGAAGAGGAGAACCCAGGCCAGCATTCCAACCAGCACCAGCCTCCGCCAGTGCCTCATACTGGATTTCATTACCTTGCACTCACATACACCCCTGTGCAGTTGGCCCACCAACAAAAAAGCCCAGGACTTGGCCCAGAGGTCAGCTGGAGGGCCTGTAAAAGAAGAAGGCTCAGGATGAAACCACTCAGGGGGAGACTGGGAAAATGTGGACAGGTACAGCAGAAGTTTGAGACACTCACCTCAACTGATGTTTCTATTTCGTCATGACCGTGAGTCCTCCAGGATGTAACAGGACCCTGAGAAGAGGAGTGGTACAAATTAGTGGAGTCAAGAGTGCACATGCATACATGAGGCTGTGAGTGCATAAAAAAAAACACTGTTCACACAGACACACCACAGGAACACACCTCCTGCAGTGTACTAAGCTGCTCTCCACTCTTACAAAAAGGACATTTAATTTTCGAGCATCTATTAACTGCACTCAAACACACACCTTCCCTCATTAAATCTTCAGCATTTACGTCACAACAAGAACGAAACCCTGCTGACACTGGTCCTCTCAGACAACAAAGAATCAACATTTTAATTAGGGCTGAAGATTGAATTCAAATTGCAATATGGCCTTCTGCAATTTTCAAATCACAGAGGCAAAATATTTTTTAACATTTTTAATTTAATATTGTTGTGGTGCACAGATGTTCTAGCGTAAGAAAACAATTTTGTTTGGTACAGATCCCCACAAAAATCATCGCCCCTCATCTTTTTAATATGTTTTGAAAGAATAATGTACAAATGACCCCCCCCCCAATATTGCAAAACACATTACAAATCATTCAGCCCCTTTGAGCTACATGTCTTACATAAAAAGTGCTCTACAAATAAAGTTTATCATTATTATTACGATCAAAATGTGATTCATTTATAAGAATAAAATAAAATACATTTTTATTGTCCACATGGGTGGAAATTTGTCTTTGTCTCACCAAACACAAAAGACAACATTGTAAAAAGCAGACAAATAGTAAAACAAACATATAAAGTCATTACAAACACTAAACACATTAAATCAGTACATTGTCTGTCTGTGGTTTAAAACTCATCAGTAAGTTTGTTGAGTTAAAGATACTGATGGCACTTGGGATGACGGACTTCGTAAATACATCTTTGGTTGCCAGAGGGACTCTATAGCGCCTCCTGGAGCTCAAGAGCTCAAACTGGCTAAAGAGAGGGTGGGAGCTATCTGCCAAGACACACCTCGATTTCTTCCTCGTCCTTTCTGTTAACAGTGGGGTCAAGGGCTTTTGTGGCCTGCCAACTATTTTACCTGCCATTGTCATAATCCTTGAGAGTTTACTCTTGGATGTACAGTTAAGGAGACCGAACCAGGCAGGAAGGTGAAACTTAAAAACACTCTCGACCACAGTTTCATACACTAATTGTAAAATCTGTTGACTACCACCGAGGCCACTGAGTTCCCTAAGAAGATAAAATCGTTGTGAGCATCTCTTGAAAATATATTCAATATTTCCAGAGAAGCTCACATGGGAGTCCAGAGCCGTACCGAGGTATTTTAACTTTTCCACAGTTTCAACACGTTGGCCATCGGGTGAAACTGGCTCTGTCTTTAGATCTTGTTTCGTGCAAATAGTCTTGGCCACATTCATTTCAAAAGCCCCTTTTACACTGCCAGATTTTCAGCGAATGTTGGGCCATTTTGCTGGCAAGCTGCGAGCATTTAGACACACAGAGCCAGATTGGCGAGTTGATCCGAGGTCCCCAATTTTCCGCCTCGTAGGGTAGACATATTGGCGGAACCTTTTTGTTTTAAAAAGAACGAGGAGCTGTTGATGATGCCGCACGTGCGACCCACTGGCGGTGGACTAACAGGAAACAGCTGATAGCAGGAATTAGCGAGCAGCTAGTAGCAAGAGGGAAACGCAAACCTGACAGACACTGTAAAGATGAGCAACTGGGGAGACAAGGAATTGTGCGCCCTCCTTGTCCTCGCAAACGAAGAGGCCATTAACCGTCAAATGACAAGAACGGTGAAGAACGGGCCAACTTAAGAGAGAATCGCCGAAGGACTGACTAGCCGCAGCTTCCCTCCCACGTCACTGTTTACGTCACACACTGAGCTACACGTTTTGTTACTTGCTCACGCCCCCCATTGCCCCGAAAAAGGCGCATTCTGTATGAACAAAAGTAGGTAGGCTGCATTTTGCTGCACTCCCCGATTTTGTTTTTATACTGCCAATGCTGAAAAAAGACTGATTGAGCTTTCCTGCAAATTTGCACAATTCCTATTTATGTTGCTGATGCGACACCATGTTTGAAGGGCTTCAGTGTGGGCCAGGACGACAGCTTTACCTGATGGGCCTGAACCCCAAATTAAAAAACAAATATACTTCATGGAACTTAGTCTTCAAGTTGACTGGCAGTGTAGAGTTTCCAGCTGAAACTGATCAACTGTTGATTGTGACCGCGTGTGAAAACTCAGAACTGAAACTCTCACAAACACTACCTGTAACACTTTACTGTCACACCCCCCCTTATTTAGCATTCATAGACACTATAAAAACTTTTAAAGTGCTTTGTGATACACTATAATGTGGCTGTAAGCAAATAGGGACACTTTTAAGTTAAACCATTAAAACTTCTCCTGTGAAGACAGACTTTATATCATAACTGTTTTACTGTATTGTTATGAGTTAACGGTTATTACAATCACCCCACTCATTAAATCATGTGTTTAATGATGGCCTTTGCTGTGTGGCGTTGCGCCAGTGCACAGTTTCCCTGAGGCTTAACAAGGCAAAAATTTATTTCATGATAATTTCGGAGACTAGGGCTGCAACTAACAATTCATTTCATTACTGATTAACCACGTTGCTTATTTTTACAATGACACAGTGAAAAAAGTCCCTCACAATTTCTAAATGACCAAGTTGATGTCTTTAAATAACTCGAGCTGTCAAACCAAACAGTCCAAAACCCCAAAATAAAAAATTTACAGTGACATATGACAGAAAAAAAGCAGCAAATCCTCACATTCTTCTTGAAATTCAGCTCAAATCAATTTTATCTATATGGCCTAATGTCACGAATCACAATAAGCTTCAGAGGGCTTTAGAACATATGAGACCCTCTGTCTTCAGACCCTTGCAGGAGATAAGGAGAAACTTGTCCCAAAAAATTCTTTAACAAGGAAAGCAATGGACAAACTTAGGGAAGAACAACTGAGGAGGGATCCCTCCCCCAGGACAGACAGACGTGGAATAGATGTCGTGTGTACAGAACAGGCTAACATGGTTGAATAACGGTATAGACAATCCATATGACAAAATGATTCATAGAGGAACACAGAGTGAGATGCATAGAATCTAGAGCTGTCAAAATAATGCGTTCATTTTGATCAATTAATCACAGAAAAACTAAAAAAAAATTAACGCTGATTCATCACATTCCGTGGTGCCCTCTGACCGGGTGCCTCATTGAAGGCCTCAGTGACTTTGGCACAAGATGGAGGCAGATAACAAGATGGAGCATTTAAAAAACACCCAGATGGAACTGTTCATAGGAGCCTTGTTTTCTGCAGTAAGACGTTTCTTAACATCGGAGTACATCAAGCCTTAATGCAACGCATTTAGTGGCAAACCCAGATGTCTGAGCTAGCACAGCCTCTGATGCTAGCGCTAGCAGCCAGTCTCGTCAGGTCACACTCGACCAGGCGTTGAGACACAAACTGAGTAAGTCTACCTTTAACTGACTAACTCACCCCCTTGAAAAATGGATTGCAGTGGACTGCAGACCAGTTTGGGTGGTAGAGGACAGGGGGACAATAGTGTCCAAAATCCAGCAGCTTTACTATGACACATCTGCCAAAATTCATTTGAATTACATTTTTTTACAGCAAAAGTTGATGTATGCAATTAATTTAGATTTATTAATCACAGAGCATGTAATTAATTAGATTAATTTCTTTAATCCCTTGACAGCCCTAATTGAAACAACAACTATGACAATACTAGCATAAATATGACTAATATTTGTGGTATATTCATTCATTCATTTATTCATTCAGTCGTGGAGAGCTGGAGCCTATCCCAGCTGACATTGGGTGAGAGGCAGGGTACACCCGGGACAGGTTGCCAGGCTATCACAGGGCTGACACATAGAGACAGACAACCATTCACACTCACATTCACACCTACAGGCAATTTAGAGTCACCAGTTAACCTGCATGTCTTTGGACTGTGGGAGGAAGCTGGAATACCTGGAGAAAACCCACACTGACACAGGAAGAACATGCAAACTCTGCACAGAAGGTGGTATATGATTAGATGAGGAATTGCTGACTGTTTTTGATTTTGGCTTCCCGTTAGCTGTCACAATTTTAAAAACCACTGTTCAGGTGCTCCTCTGAAACACACTGTGATTACAGTATGACACTATTTCAAATACCTGGACTTCTTCAACATGTGCATCAACATGACACCTCTGCTGATTCCACTGGAAAACCTCACACTGATTAAAAATAAGACTATCATTATCAGCCTGACTTCCTCTGATACTCAGGTGTACAACACGATAGATTCACCAATGGTTTACAGAGTGAAATACACAGCAATAAAGGTGATTAAAGGAAGCATTAAATTGCCTCACATCAGAGGAACTACAATCCTCTCAACCACACGTAATTATGAGTTTTGGTGTCTTAATGTGGGAGCGTTTCTCCTGAGAGAGTGGCAGGGTGAGGCAGGAGAAGAAGGAAAAAATGCTCCTGTGTGTGTTAAGCCTCCTCTAGTCCTAATTACAGCTTCCTGTCTCTGTAGGTAGGTCCTGCAGAGTGCACCAGAAGTGATCTCAGGAGCCCCTGTGGTCCCCCCTCCCCGTATATACCCACACATCCAGGCTTCCCGCCCTGCAGCCACACAGGAGGCCAAAGCTCATCCACTGACCCTGGTCAAGCTGGGGGAAACCAGCAGGGAGCAACTGGGCCAGAGGGAGAGGAGACGGTATGGAAGAAAGAAAATAACTGCACTGCGATCACTCAGACAAACACACATCTGCACACACTGACACACACACGACAACCTGATTACTTTCTGAAAACTTGCAGCATGTTCTGCCGAAGGCTTGAAAGCAACTGACAGGTGGGGTAGGTGTCAGTCAGTAATCCCCTGTGTAGCAGTTTCAACATGTCTACCAGGCTGGGGTCAAAGGTTACTCAGTGGAAAATATGCCATTTAACACCTGGAAATAACAACAGCTGGCCTGACGCGTGCGCACACACACA